ACGAAACTTTGCTAAGGTCTCGTTTAAAATCAATAGCGGAATTCCATAAACGAGAGGTCAGGAACTACTTCCGGTTAGCCTAATCTTGCCAATCTCTGTTTCTTCTTACAGGTGAATTTTTTTTTAAAAGTGAATTAACCTTTTTTTTTTTGTTGTTTATGGTGAGTCGATAATTAAAAGAGTTGATTTTTCAAACATCTCTTTTATTGTTTTTAATCCTTGTTTTCTTTATCAATTGAGTAATTATAAATTTGCATATCTAAATAAGGACCCGCTTTTAGAGCAAGAAATTCAGACGTTTTTTTAAGTCCCAACAGAATCACATGCGAGTGGACTCGTGTTCAATATTTGTACAATGTGCAAAATAAAAGACGGACCACCTTGAATAATTTTTGATCTAATGATCAGATCTTCACGTTCAAGGACTCAATCTTAATGGTTCGAGAGGGTGACTTCAAATATGCTAATTAATTATTGCAGACGATATTTTAAATTATGAATTTAGGTACAGAAACGAACTTTCTGAATAAACGTACCATTTTTTCAATGAATTTGGATATCTGCCACTCAAAAAATAGGGGATAGCCGCAATATATGGTCCCAATAGTTTGGTCAGGAGAGAGATCCAAAGTTTGAACCCCTTAATGTTAATTTGGTTTTTTGCGTATTTCACTATATCTCGAGAACTTTTTAAACGAATTTGAAAAATTTTGCACACAATTATGATATTTATGTATCCAATGATAATTCCATGCAGAAAATAAATTTTAGTAAACATTTATTTTATTAAATAATAGTCGAACAAATTTTGAGGTATACAATTTTTAACGTCATTTTAAAGAATGTAATTTTACAAGGCAAAATAGAAAAATTGAGCGAAATCGGACAAATTGTTTCTGGGAAATCTAATTTTTAAAAAATCGTATATTTAAAATTCGATTTCTCAGAATTTACAACCGATTTCGGTCGAATTTTGAATCTTGCCGTTTAAAATTACGTACTTTAAAATGATGCAAAAATATGTATACCTTACAATTCAAACTTTGTTCGATTATTACTAAATAAAATAATAAAAAATATTTTTTTTAAATTTGTTTGCTACATGGATTTATTTTTGGACAAATGAATTTTATAATTGTGTGAAAAATTTTTTGATTTTCTTAAAAAGTTCCCGAGATATTACGAAATACGCAAAACATTTAAATTAACTTTAAGATGTCCAAATTTTGGACCTCTCTCTTGAACATATTTCCCAAATTGCGGCTACCCACTATATTTTGGTAGTCAGAAATCCAAATCCGTCGAAAAAAAGGCATGTTTTATTGAGAGAAAGTGCGTTTTTGCGCTTGATTTCGTAACTAAAATTATCGTCAGCGCTTATTGATCAGCATTTTTGAAGTCACCCCCTCGAACCATTAAGATTGAGTCCTAGAACGTGAAGATCCGATCATTAGAACAAAAGTTATTAAGGGTGGTCCGTTTATATTTTTGCACACTGTAAACCCTTTTAACGTCTAAAAGTATATCGTGAGGAAGTTGTTTCAGATCGCGTATTTAATAAGTGTAGCGTGATAGTAACGCTTCAGCGAGTTCCTTCACAATGCTTCGGAAGTAAAAAAGAGGTTTCTAATTATCAGATTGCATATTAAGATAGGATTCTTTAAAGGAAGTGATAATTAATTGAGATTTTTCTGTCGAGTCTTTAAAAGCAATTATATTTTATTTGTTACATTGTTAAACTGTTTTTGGTTGCGGATGTTGTCGCTTAACGTTATTGCAGTCTTTTTGATTACCTGCAGCGACACTACGCAAGCTTGAATTAATTACTTGAATCTTGAGAAAAGATGTGACGGATCAGAAGGCGAGGAGCGCAAAATGTCTTTCTTTCTGTAAGTGATACTGTTATCCGCAGTTTGCCCTTAGAACAAAATTTAACTTGTATAAAATTTTAAATGACCAAGAGAATGCCTCACTATATTTTGTCTCTTTTAGAATCTGTTGAACGATATTTTGACCGGATAAACCATGTTCTTAATTTAATATTTATTTTAATAATTACTTTTTTTTCATCTACAAAATGTGGTAAAAACTGGCAATTGGATAATAACAAGTGACTTCATTGTAAGTGAATCAAGGCATTTGTCGATTCAGAAACCAATCAAGTTCGACACACGCTCGTGACGTCACTTCCACGTATCCAATTAAATTTGATTTTAATCATATGGTTAGGCATAATCATTTCACTTATTCTCGAGTTGCAAGTTCCCAATTATAAATAAAGAAATAAATTTTTTTTACGTAACTATGCGGGAAACAGTTTTACGGATAATCATAAATTAATTTCAATCTAATTTTGTTTTACTTTCATTTAAAAGCCGTAAAAGGGTCTTGATTTGCCCTTTTTGGTATTCAATAATAATGATTTGAAGAAATGAGAAGATCAATATAATATTTAACTTTTTAAAGAGCTGTGGTTTTCATCGTTAACCACAAATCATACAAAATAATGTAAAAATTCATTCAAATAAATTGTTTGACTGTAGACCCAACGAAAATAATTTTGATTATTCTTGTGTTTTAAGTTTTAAAAAAATTTTCTGCGTTTAAATAATAGAATTAAAGACTGCTTTTCACGTGATTATAAAAAAGAAAATTTTATCTTTGTCAGACTGGAAATTTAAAACGTATTCTTTCTAAATACTTTTTTTTGCGGAGGCGGGGGTTTTGCTGATCGAAGTTATCTATACGCAAATGATACGAAGTGATGTTTTGTTTTTAATTTAACACGAATATTTTTATTTCTTTATTAGTTCATTTGAAAACTGTTGTTTATTTCATTCTTTTTAATGTTGTACCTGTTGGCTTACATCTATAAGCAGTGGAAACAGACAGTTAGCGCCATTTAGGAAACAATTTTAACTGCATCATGTACAGAATTATAGTGTTATAGTTGAAATGTGAATACTTTAACCCTTTCAAGGGCACTTGGATAAATTACCAATGAAAAAAAAGTAGCAAAATTTACGAAAATCTTTTTTTTTTTTTCTTCCTAAGAAACAATATATTGAATAAATTCTGCAATGGATGTGGATTCAGGGCCCGCACTAAGCATTCGCTAAGTGCGAGCCTCGAGAGGTTTTTAGAAATCTTAAGACTTATTAGTAGGAAATGCTTTATAATAAAAAATATAAATAAGTAAAAAAAATGCATAGCTGATAATAACTTTTTATTTATTTATTATTTTAAATATAAAGTCGGGGTTTCGTCAAAAGGTCAGTTTGGTTTCCGTTGCCGAAAAATAATTGGGAACCACTAATATATAACACTAAAATTATTAGTTGTTTTTTTTTTTTAATTTTTTATTTCTTAGGTTTTAGGGGAAAGAAAAAAAAAAGACAGACCACCCTGAATAACTTTTGATCTAATGCTTAGATCTTCACGTTTTAGGACTCAATTTTAATGGCTCGAGGGAATGACCTCAAATATGGTAATTAATAAGCGTAGACGATATTTTAAGTTACGAAATCAGACACAAAAACGTACTTTGTCTGAATAAATATGCCTTTTTCTTTTTATATCCGTCGTTAAACAGCCGACCCGATTTTGGGTTTACTACTACTAATGTTCAACTCCGTAGCCTTATAATTTTGAACCCAATCCAGAAGACAAGGGAAATCTTGACTAAGTACCCCCAGAGGTATTGATTTGTTTTGGGAACACGGAGGACTTTGTGACTCGACAGATTTAACGTGCATCAGTCACCATTTACTACACAGTATGCCTTTTTCTTGACGGATTAGGTTTTCTGACTCCCTAAGTATAGGGGGTAGCCAAAATCTGGGAAATATGGTTCCAATAATTTGGTCAGGAGAGCACACCAAAGCTTGGAACCCTTAATGTTAAGTTTAATTTTTACGTATTTCTTTATGTCTCAAGAACTTTTTAGGCAAAATGAAAAATTTTTGCACACAATTATAAAATTCGTTTATCCAAAGATACTGTCATGCAAAAAAAAAAAAACTTTAAGTAAATATTTACTATTTTATTTAGTGATGGTCGGAAACATTTTAAATTGTAAGATGTACAAAATTGTATACCTTACAATTCGAAATTGTTTCGACCATTATTAAAAAAAAGAATATTAAATAAAAAATATTTGCTAAAAGTTATCTTTTGCATGGAATTGTCTTTAGTTTCACGAATTTTATAATTTTGTGCAAAAATGTTTCAATTTGCTTAAAAAGTTCTCAAGATATAGCAAAATACACACACAGTAAAATTAGCATTAAAGGTCTACACTTAGGAGCGCTCTCCTGACCAAACTATTGGGATATTATTTTCCAGATTACGGCTACCCCTTATATTTTGGGGTTCAGAAATTCAAATCCATTGAGAAAAAGGCATGTTTATTCAGAGAAAGTTAATTTTTGTGTCTGCTTTTTGTGCCTTGCTAGGGGTTCCTTAGGCTTAAGTGGTCGAAATTTTGATGGACGATAAATTATTTTTATTTGGCGATAAAATTAAAAAAGTACTCAGTAACAGCCAGGAAACGTTTAAAAATTCTGCTCCATCTAAGGAGATTTGAGTACTGTAGTTGGAAAGTGTTTGAAATTTTGATCGATTATGATTTTCTTTGGCAATGATGATAACAGTGAGTATTTATCCTTGCAAAAGCGTTTTTTTTTTCTGTAAAACCGAATTGTTACTTTAATGGGAAGAAGAAATTTAAATTTCGTTTTAATATACCTTTTCTGGGAATGTTTAAAAATTCGATTGGCACCCCTTGTTAACAAAAATAAGCAAATCACAAGTCCTTCTCCTTGTTAAGTGCTTCCCTTATTGAATGTTATTTTGAAAATGCGTCAAATTTATATTTTTAGGTTTTTGATTCCTTGTTTATTTCTCAAGATATTTAACCATTTTCATATTTTTTGGACACCCTGCATATTACCCCTGTACAAATTAAGCAACATTTCTTTACTTTCATTGTTTTATTGCAGCTTTGGATTTGAAGAATGGCTCTGGTGCGGTCTATAAAGGAACACCTAAACATGACAAACCAGACTGTACATTCATTTTGGAGGATGAACTATTCACAAAAATCATGGATGGATCTACTGATCCTCAAAGGGTCTGTATTACAAATACTTGTGAACTACATTCAATTCACATTTTTGAACTTTAAAAAAAAAATTAAAAATAGATTTTTTACTTCAGGTACTTAGTCATATTGTTAAGAATGCTCTTTTAAATTTATTAAGAAAGATAAACATAAATGTTCTCTTTGAGAAAGTTCTATACTTCAACGTTATAACTTCATGCAGGGTTCATACTCCTCCTGAAATTCATGAAAAACTCCTGAAATTAACTTTTTTTTTCTAAGGGCCCTTATAACTCCTGAAATTGGCATTTTAACTCCTGAAAATTAAATTTTATCTCCTGAAAAATTTTTAACAAAAATAAAAAACTTTTCTTAAACGGAGTCTTCCCATCCCTTTCGTCCCTGGATAGCAAATGAACTGTATAAAGATTGGCTGCTAAGTGTTGTTCCTGTGCCGGTTTATAATTTGAATCGAGCAATTCATTTGAATAGCCTCACTACAAAAGCTGAAATTTTATGAACTTTAAAGGTTTTAAGCTCACATTATTCCTACAAATCTTGTGAAAATGCAAATTTTCTTTTTAAAGCTATGTTTTCTGATAGCCAGATAGCAAGCAATTTCAGTTGTGGTGGAAAGAAAAACTGCCACCTCTCAGTTTTTGGTATTGCACCATATTTTTTGTCTCTACTTAAGTCAAGAGTGAAAGAGGAAACCAATTATGTACTGCTTTTTGATGAAAGTCTAAATGATGTTAATCAATTCAAAAACTGGATTGTCATGTAAGATTTTGGGATGGTAACCAAATAAATACATGCTACTATTCTTCAGACTTTCTAGGACATGTTACATCTGAACTTTTATTTGAAAAAATAACTGAGAAATGCTTGTGCATAAATACTAAAAGTTTACTATTATCTATGGATGGCCCGAATGTCAACCTAAAAGTGCTAGGCATAATGATAGAAAAAATGAAGAATGAACACAATGTGAGTCTCTTGAATGTAAGTTCATGTGGACTGCACATAGTGCATAATACCTTTAGGGGTGGTTGCTCTGTTGCTTTTCCAAAAGTAGAGCATGCTGCATCATCTGTTTACCAA